GTGAATTAGTAAATGGAGAACTCAGCGTTTTAGAGAAAGAGTAAATTTGCGATTGAATAACTTAAAATATTAATAATGATTTTCTAAACATTGAAAAAATAAATAAATGTGATATATCAAATAAAACTGTTTCAAGTAAGCAAAATATATATATATATATATATATATGAGCCATAAAAATAGTGAATAATATATATATATATNAAAAATGAATAATATATATATATATATATATATATAAGAGCCATAAAAATAGTGAATAATATAAATTTTACTTTCATATTTACGTATTATAGAATTACGCACTTACCTAACGTAGAACTTCGGAATGAAAATGTATTTTTATTCATCTTAAATACTGAATTACAGTTTTTTTTATGACAAGCAAATGAATGAAACTTTATTAATAGGTAAAAATAACATTATAGCTTAGGTAAAATCAACACGTAAAGAGGTTGAGTGCATCACAACATCTCGGATGAGATATTATTTCTAAGCATTAAAACTAGATGGCAGCACTAAGATATAAATTACATATTAAAAGGCAGTCTCAATTTTCAATTTTGCCCAGCAATTTAGAAATTATCCATGCAAGTACCAATTACTTTTTGTTTTATTACAAAATAGGGCTACTAATGAGAGTATAGAATAAAATTTGTCAATATTGTAAAATTGCAAATATTCTTTTCTTTTTTGTACATTCGTTCTGTAGTTATTAGAGACAGTAAGATATGACAAGTCTGATATTTAAAAATAAGTCCGATTTTTAATGACAAGTCTGATATCAAAATTTTCTTCCCAAATTTCCCAAAATTTTTAACTAAATAGCACTTTCTTTAAAAATTATTTGTAATTAATGTGTAAAATGATAAGTTAAAATGATTTTACGAAGATTCAAAATTCCAGAGGAGTTACAGTGGCAAATACAGAATTGTGTTTTTGTAAAAATGTAATGCATGCGAATGTTTTAAATGTCAATCGCATTTTAAAGAAGATCGTGTCTTTTACGTTGTGCCAACGGAATCTCAGAGACTGTCCATCTAATTACAGATTTTCATCTGATGGATTCTTGTTTTAATCAAATTCACTACAATATAGCAATCCCCGTTTGCCACAGTATTCACGAAAATTGCTGCAGAAAACCTAACATTTTAGTTAAATTTAGCCTGTTTTTTTTCTTCTTCTTTTTCAAACTTAAAAATCTGGGATAAAAAAAAAAATATTTTTCTGATTCAGCGATTGGCCAAACCGTTGGCCACTGTCTTCAGAAACTGAAAAGCATATTTGAATATCATGCTGGAATTTTTATTTATCTAGCATAATTGTCTGCACATTAGAAACTTATACCATACTACTGACAACTTAATTATTTTCAGATATAATTAAAAATAACAATTGCCTTAATGTAATTTCAAGAAAACCAAAAGCTGTTTATTATTTATTTACTATTTATTTATAAATTTTTTGATATGATCAGCTCCCAAAAGATTGTCCTTATAAATCTGAACGTTTGTCCTACTAAAATTGTTTTGTTCGAGTCATAATTACACAAAACTTTTTTACCCTTTTTCTTTTATTTAGTTTTACTTTTAAACTAATTTCTTAAATATAAGAATTCTACTTTTATCTTTGGCAATAGACAAAAAATTACAAAATAAAAAAAAAAAATAAATAAATAAATAAATAAAAAAAAAATTTAAATGATTGATTAAAAAAAATTGTTGTTGACAATTAAGAGCTGAAACTACAAAGAAAAAGGTAACTCCGAGAAGAGCCGCTTTCCCAGTGACATTAAAAGCAAAAGACACAAATCTATCTCATACCTAAAAAGGAAAATTAATTACAGGTAATGGCTAAGACGCAATTCTACTCGTGCAAAGATTGATGCGTATTTTTTCATTATTTTTCAAAATTTTGATTCGTTTCAGATCTACGCACATCTTTATATGCAACAAAATGAATAATATTTACAAACCAAAAACAGTAAAACTCATTAGCAAAAGCTATCCACAGAAATCATTGAAAAGTACATAATATTTCATTTCTTTTTCATTGTTGATGTTTTATGCAAATTTACTAATGCCTTAATACGGTTCATATGCCCCCATTTAATACATTAATCTAACACCATTTTAGGAATACAGTGTGCAATAATAAGATTCAGCACGCTCCGTAATCCTTACTTGCGCTGTATCATGAGAAATTTTTAATAAAAGAAAAAAAAATTAAGCCTAGTAAATTAAGTCAAACAAAACTGAACTGTTGCCTGTAAATTTTATTCCATACCGGAATGAAGGAACAAAAGTAAATTTAAATTATTTTATATAAGTTATCATAATAGACAGAAAACAATTTTTATAATAGAAAAATACCAATATCGATAAGAGTATATTGTAAGCGCATATATTGTAAATTAAGAATGGCGACAGCGATTATATTTAGTTCGAATGTAAGCGCATATATATTGTAAATTAAGAATGGCAACAGTGGTTATATTAAGTTTGCTTTGTGATGGAAAAATTTGTAGAACGTTGATATGAAATGTATGTGAATGTAACAACTTACGAGTGCACTTACATTATCAATAAATATTGTTTTGTTTTCTATGTAGAATTTATTGTTAAATTAACTACATAAGAAACCAACAAAATTTAGAGTTATTTTTTTAACATAATGATGTTCAGAATTAATGGACGATCTTAGTAGAGAATATTCTCAATTTGCGATCACCCCCTTGCATCTCTCTTGACATGAAAAGCTGACATAAATCAAATGTGATTGGCACCCCTGTCAACGATTTGATGAATGGTTACGTAAGCTTGACATTTGGCTGGTTGCCAACTCATTAGTTGCCGCCTCTCAAACTTCGGCCCACCTTTTTAGTTAATCGTCAACACGTCATAGCCCAATCGTCTTTCGAAAAGACCCTCCCACATCGACACCGCATTGGAGAATAACTGAAAACACCATCACAAAAGAATTCAGACACATTTTTCCGATTAACAGCCAAAGCATTTATCGCTACTTTTGGCTACTTAGGAGGAAACGAAAAGAGCACGGTTGCAGTTATCGTTATTATGGAAAACACGATATTCACAATTTGAATTTCGATTATAAATATTAAAATTCTGAGTTTAGAATTTTCTCTACTTAAAAAAATTGTTACAGCAAATTATTGTTTTGAAATTAATTCGTTGCATTTAATGCTGACTAATTTCTAGACTTCAGATTAATTTCTAAAATCTAATATAAGAATAATTATGTTAAATCTGATACTGTAGAATATATTGTTATATCTGATACAGTAAAAATTTGCTAAATATGATGTATGTTTCTCAAAAAGTTTCTCAGCATGTCTTATTTTATTCCAAAACGAAAATCGAAAATTAGAGAACAGAAAACGATTCCGAAAAAAATGTCAGTTATAAAATAAAATAGTTTTTTCAATAAAATGTGTTTTATTTTAAGCATCCTATCATTTTTTATTTAATGAAATATATAAAAATGCCTTTAGAGGGTATACATTTGTCTATTTATTATCTCTATTTTGTTCCACAACAAAAGGTTAATATTGAAAACTAGAAAGCGATTATTAAAATTTGTTCGTTTGTAACATCGTTTTTTAAAGAGTTTCTTTTTTTTTTTTCATTTTATTTAAGATAATATTTTTGATTAGTGACGCAAATTATTAAAAAATACGATGTCACATTTTTAATTTTGAAGCAAATATATCAAACTGAAAGTTAAAAAATGGTTAGAGACGTTGTCATTTTCATAATCGTTCGCTCAAACGATTATTTTTCTCCACCATAAAGTATTATTTTTCAATAGAATTGTGCGAATAAGTTTTTATCTGACAAATCACGTGGTTTTAGAAATTTAAGTTTTAGTGATAAAATCAAAATAATAGTCACTATAGTTTCTTAAAATGGAAAAAAAAGAAAATTCTTTTATCTGCAAAAGGATTCATTATTTTTATCTGTATCACCTTTTTTTAAAAAATTTTTAAACTTTAGCTAAATTTAAATCTGTAATGATTCAGGAAAATTTCGTTTATTTGTCGTTTTATTTTTCGTTCTTCCTTGTTTTGCGGGGTACTCTTAGAGATTTCTAATCATTGAAGTAATATATAACACCGAACGACGACCATGTTACAGTTGGAAGACACATTTTATTTCATTAGCAAAAGTTTAAAATTTAAAAAAAATTAAGAAAAAAAAAACGATTATAAATAACATTATTTTCCAATCCATCCAATGTTTTTTTCAATTAAAATATTATTTAAGATTACAAAAAAGCAAATCAGGTTATAGGCGTGGAGTGATGGGGGTTAGGCAATTTTTTTTGTTTTTAGAAAACTGCTCGTTTATTTTAAGTTTAATACATACATTTATATATAAATAGATAAACATAGAAAAAAATAGATATGCATATATTCATAATGTTTAAAATAAAAGAACAGTTTTCTTAAAGCAAAAAGTGGGCTTTCTCTCACTCTGCCCCCATGTACGCAATAAATTCTTCTGTGAGAATATTTGTCCAGCAACAGAGTTGCGCGCATCTTGAAAGCTAGTTTATTAATAATGAATTTTTCAAGAATAATTAATTTATTAATGAATATGCTTTCTGTGATTCACTTTTTAAATGAGCGAACTTTTTAAATTTTAGAGCTTAAAGTTTCTTTTTTATTCAAGCAATATACTGAAATTTGCTAAAAATTCCGTTTATGGTTCTGCAACTAATATAAATACTAAATTGAGACGAAGAAAAAAATAAATAAAGCATTTTAAATGCCACCATAACCTATTACCCTTTTCTAAAAAAAAAAGAAAATGGAGACTAACAAACATTACAATCATAAAGAATGCTGTTCAATTCATACTGTATAAAGATTGTTGTATTGGCTATGGCTTGAAATCAAAACAATACTTTTTCCCTATCATTTGGCGATATCGCCTCTGTAAACATATGGCAACCCTATGAGAGCATGTCTCGGATTTGGAAATCTCCCTCACACTTTTCGTCTACCATTGCGAAGTGTTGTTGATAGTGGCGTGGTTGCAGTTTAATTTTCGAGCGTGCTACGATCACATGTTGATATGATATTGATAAACATCAGTGCTTTGATATTATAGGATTTTCAACCGTTTTTTAAGTGAATTTTTTTGTGCTTCTGCAGTATGTGTGATTATTGATATTATGTTGAACGGAAACCAATATTTGAGACCTGAATATTTATCCCCCTTGTCCACAACTGTAAGTAAACTTCTTTCTCTTATTTTTATTTTCCTGTGTTACGAAACAATATTTTGTTTACAAACAAAAAAAAAATTTTTTTTTAAAGAATTGATTTTACTTTCCTTTTATTTGAAGTAATTAACGAAAATTGTTATATGGCAGTAAGATGATAAATATCAAATTCATTCTACTTCTGGTACTCAGTAATTTGGCTTATTGAATTTTTTAATTTAACAAAACATTTTTTTTCACTACTTGTGATTACATTAAAAAACTTTTTCCGTTGTGTTTAATATGTAGTGTATAATATTAGTTGTATCCTTTAAAAGCTAAGTATGTCATTTTATAGCAGGATGGATTCCTCTTACTGTGTAAACTAAGTTCGTCAGATGACGAGTGTTGCTTTTGCCTCTTGGCCTTATGCCGATGATTTGCTTTTGAATTTTTTAATTTAACAAACTTTTTTCTCACTACTTATAATACCGTTTAAAAAAAAGGAATTCCGTTGTGTTTAATATGTAGTGTATAATATTATTTGTATCCTTTAAAAGCTAAGTACATTTTATAGCAGGATGGATTCCTTGTACTGTGTAAACTAAGTTCGTCAGACGACGTGTGTTGCTTTTGCTAATGTTCTTACGTGACTCTTGGCCTTATGCCGATGATCTGCCATTACTTGGTCTTAAAGTGGTGGCTTTTCAGAGTAACTGTTTAAAAATATCCTCCTTATCGTGGTAACTAATAAACTAATATCGTGGTAACTGATAAAATTCCTTTCTTTCTTGTTTTGTTTCCTTCATAATGGAAGAAATACCTTTTCAGAGAAAACTGCTAAATATCAGTGATAATGTACTTTTTCTTGTTAACATGATTCAAACATAGTTGTAGAAAGTTAGTGAATAATGAAGACCACTATTATTGTTTTTTTTCTTCTCCGAATAAAAGATATTTGACTAATATTTGTCAACATGAAAAAGCAAAAAAATTTTATGATGGATGCTGGTTTAGATTGTTTTGCAGGCATACTCAAGCGTAGATTTAAGTTTGTTTTTAATGAAAAAACTATCTTAACACAATGCTTCAGCTAAGCATTTATGAACGCCTTTAATTTCAACCGTCTTCAGACCCTTCCGTCAATATAACTTTATGAACGGAGCATGTCCCGTCGTATGATTAATTATTTCATGAAGCATTACAAACGGACTATGTTTAGACCTGTCTTAGCCAGTGCTGAAAGACATATCTTCTTTAGAAACTTTTATTTACTAATAACTAGTTAATATATAATTAAATATGTTGATGTATAATTAAATATATTAATATATAATTAATATGATTTATATTTTAAATAAATAAACTTTTTAAACTTTAGAGCTTCAGAACATTTCTTTCGAGCAATATGCTAAAATTTGGTGCTCAAAAACATAAGTATCTTCTTTGAAAACACTTTTATTTTCTAAAAGAGGATTCAACACTGGGCCTTCAATAATAAGCTTATAAGTTTTTTTCCCCTCTTATGAAAGAAAAAAAAAGGTAAAATTCAAGAATTTCACTTTTTTAAATATATGGATATCTGTAATATTCGTTAATTTATAAAATCGTCCACTTTATAAAGATACATTATAAGTTGCCATCCATTTATATGCAGTATGATGTGGAATCATAATATACTAGAATTGTTTTATTTCAATTTTGTCAATCATTAAGTAATTCGTTTAAAATTTACTTCTTTTACATGTTAATAAAGTTAAATCGTTCATAAGAGTAAATTGTAAATCAATTAAAATAAACTTTGTAATCTGTTAATCTATAAGTTACCGCAGACAAATTCGTAAATTATTCAAATTGACAAATTCGTATTGCTTCTAAGGCGTTTGAATGACGTTAAGAGAATTTTTAACAGAGTCATCAAATTCTAAGTTGATTAGGAAAGATAGGGCCCGCCTTTATATATAAAAATTAATAAATTTTGATTTTCTGGATGATAAATGCTTTACGTTTGATTATTGAATGGTGTTGCATCTAAGTGACGAAAACTTTTCTCGCATCTCTTGAAAACTCGCATCTCTTGAGTTATGATTAAAAGTGGTGCATAAATTGTAACAAATTGAATGACATTAGTATTTTTAATCGTCTCCTAATTTTTATTTCGTGTCCAAGTGCGAAAATACAGGATGGTTTTACTCCCTTGTAGTTTCACCATAACCTGAAACATAGAGGTACGCATAGTTCAGCTTGATGAAAAGGGCGTAGAAAGCTGATCTCACCCAGGTTTTTAAAATTGCTGTAGGCTTAAATTCGTTATTTTAATATGAAATAGATCGTTGTAGTTAAGATTTAATTCACTATTGCTCGCTGCTTTCGTTGTGACTATATAAATATTTTGTTGAATAGTTATTATGATGTTTTTTTTCCCCCAAAAAAATTATACGCTTTTGTGACATTTATATAACCATTTAATATTTTTTGAATTCCATGTCGTGTATAATGCTTAGCCATTTTTATAATATGGATAATTGCATTAATTTTCAAATGAATTAAATTTTCGAATTTATTCTTTATTCTGTTAATGTTTCTAATGTGTGTCAAATACATACTAGTATCAGAATTCTGTATAGAAGATTTAGGATATCAGACTGTATTCCTAATACTTATATCAATAGAAAATATATTTTCAGTTCTAAATCTTCTACGCATTCACTGAAAAAAAATTTTTTTTTAAAATTCATTGATGAATTTTTCTAATTTAAGAATAACGGTTTTTTACTTTAAAAAAAGAAATCTAAATTCGTTTAAATTGCTAATATGATTATTAAACAATAACCAATGATAAATATAAAACATTTTTGGGGGCGTTGTTTGCTACTTTTGAACAAAGAACTCGAAATATGAAAACACCTTAAAGAAAATGAAAAATTAATTGAGTATATCCCACGGAAATATATAAAGTAAGTGCTTAGTAACACGTGAATCAAAAAAATATCGTTAAATTATTTTGCGTATATACAAGTACTAAAGGCTTTTTTTTCCTATTATTTAATAAGCTTTAACTTATAAAATCTCTTTAGACCACTGACGTTTTAGCATATATGGCAATAGTTTTACTTTCGTTACTTGAACCGCCGGTACAAGTAAAAAGTACGAACTTTTACTTGTACTTCGTTGCTTTTTAAATTTAGTACTTTTACTAGTACTTTTTTAGGGAAAAAGTGCAAGTATTTGTAACGGAAATATCGAATGAAATCGTTACTTTTTTCTAAAACTCAGTAAGCTTTCTAAAGAGAAAAAACTAAAAAAAAAAATTAAATTTAAAAAGAAATGCTTATGTTTTTTTAATTTATAAAATTAATGTGCAATATACATGCATTCATAGCTAACTTCGTGTTTAAATACCTTCTATTTCAACTTATACTGCACATTCAATTATTTTTTACTAGCTCAAAAATCACAAAGCTATCTGAAACCCCGTGTTTGCTTTATTTATGTTTGTGCTTTTAAAACGTGTTTCTAAGGAGTAAAACAATTTTAAATTAACGGTAATTTAAATAAACAAAAATAATAAACTTAAAATTAAAATCGATAGATAAAATTTCTTTTTCCTGCAAATCCATAAAAAGATTGATATTAAAATTATATTATACGATTGTATTATAAAATTATATTATAATATTCTTCCGAATTTAAAAATAAATTAATATCCATAACTTTCAAAATTAAAAATAATTAAATAAATAACAACAATTTTTCGAAAACATTAAAGAACATAAGAATATTACTCAATAAAATTTTAAGTTACTTTGAATTTTCGATTTCCTAGAAATGTACTTTTAAATCGTTACTTTTTTTGTTTTGTACTTTTACTTGTACTTTTTACTCGTTGCTTTTTAAAATAAGAAGTTTTTACTCATTGCTTTTTTTAAAAATACTTGTACTTTTACTCGTTACTTTTCAAAAGTAACGTTGCCATATATGCTTTTTAGTTTAAAGTCATGTATAATAACATCAAATAACGGTGAAAACATTTGAAGTAAATCACAACTATTTCGAAAGATATTAAATTAATATTTTTCTCTGACGTTCATCGATTAGAATAACTATGCGCATATCATTCATGGGACTGTTGCTTGACTCTGAAAAGAACTCTTTTATTCATTTTTAATATAAGAATTGAAATCAAAAGCGCGTCTGGGTAAAATATTAATTTCATTGACCTAAAGGTGTCTAGCATTATTTGACCACACATAAAGGGCGCTATTCATTTCGCATATCATTCTTGTGTAATGACTCATCACATTCCAAACCTACCAGTTGACAACCAGGAGAGAGTTCTTTTGCAAACAACAGCAGTGTTTTTGTGTTTATTGATTGCAGGGTACCACATTGTTGGAATTTCTGTTTATCAGTCCAGTATTTGAGTGCAGAACACCTTTTGGACATTCAGTTATTGTTTGGCCTTATCCATTAGTCTTATTCTTGAAAACTTGAAGGAAAATTAACTTCATGTGTCATGGGCCTTTATCCTGTTCCATCAATTTCTATTATAAGGTAGTGTTAACTACAGCAAATCACCTCCTACCTGTTTAGAATACTTTACACCAAATTATTGGTTGACTATAGTGTACAGCATGCCACCCAGGAGATTTCTATGTTCAGCCTTCAGGCATGTCATCATTAATTTTCAGTGTTGGCCCACACACATGCGTATGGGCAGGGCATGTGTGCTTGATATTTTTCACATGGAAGGACATGGAATTCCTTTGGTAAAAATATGCATGAATAATCGATAATAGATTACTCTATTTTACTATATCTTATGACTGAGTTTATCCTTATGTATATTTTATAATTCAGCATCTTACCTAAACATATAGCTGTCAGCTCTACTATATTTTTCAGTAGACTACTGGTTTTGGCCGATTTCCCTTGGTCTATTGGTTTAATAAGAATTCGTCTGGTGTTTGAACATTTTAGAAAATTCCCTAAAATTGGAAAGTTTCCTAAATAGATCCCTATTAAAATAAAATTTCTGCACAGATTATTGCTTGCTTGCTTGAATATTTAAATAAGTATTATTAATCTATAATGAACCGAGCCTCGTTAATAGAAATCAATTTAAAAAAATTGTTCTGAAATGTTCATTTTATTAATCAGAATTCCCTTTCTAAATTATTTAAAAAATCTTCATTATTTCTTATGAATTGAATGCATATTTACTATTCAAAATAATTAGTAAACACAATTCCCAACATTTATTCAATGCTAGATTGAAAAATATTGAAGTTTTTCTATTTTGATGTCTATGAAAAACCCTAACGAATTGAATATCTAGTACATTATGCAACAATTATCATGGAATTTATATTATTTCGTAAAATCTACCGGAATTTTTCCTATCTATGTCGGCAGAATTTCGCTGGAATGCAGTTTGTGCCAGCTCAATAGTGTAAAAATATATCGTGTCTCAACTTCTAATTAGTTTAATTCTCTAATTAGTTAATTCTTAACGTATCTAAGAGACATTTTATTTATATTTTAACTAAAATTATTTACATTTGTGTAAGTTAACAAGGGAGTTCTTAATTTGCTTCAAAGCATCATGGGGGATGATAGTTTCATTCCTAATCTAAAATCATTTGTCATCTTTGGTTTTATTTTACGTGTTTTAAATTACAGTTGTCATGAGTAACTTGGTTTAATTTAATTAAATATCTCTGAAATCGTAGTTCAAGGTTTATGAGATATATCCTAACTTGAAGAAAGCCTTATTGATTTAATTAGTTATTTTCCGAAAAAAAATGGGTGTTTTTAATAAAGAATTTTGATTAAATTAGTCTTTAAATAAATAAAATAAAATACAATTAGCACAAATTTTTTCACATTATTTTTTTATTTGACCTGTGATGGTAGAAAGGTTAAGGCATTGAACAAACAGTCTGAATTACTGAGGTTCGATCTCCACTAGAAGCCCAGGCAGTGTCCGTTTGATAGGTACCAGCTTGTTTGGGAAGTAAAGGCAGCCTGTGCGCAATACCTAATTGCTAGAATCAATCCGTTGGTCGCGAAATCGTGGAGCCTTTACTTCTCTGACCCTCCGCGGGTTGTCGCGGAAATGTTTTTATTTTATTTTTATTATTTGTTTATATTTCAAAGCTGCTCTAGACGTTTTAATCACATGATGACATAATAATTGACATACTCTAAAAGCAATTGTAGTATTTTTTGAAACAAAATTCCTCTTGCTAAGTTGCCGCAAGCCAAACAAATTTTTCAACAAGAGGAGCATAAATTTAATATTGGCTCTACGCCATGCTTTGTTTGCACTGCTATTTTGACCTTGTCAAAAATAATGCATTTGATGAATTGGAGCATTTTTTTCTTTTCTTTCCTAAAAGCGTCATTCAGTTTAAATGATTTATATTATTTAAATTATTTATATTATTTAAATGATTTGTTTTTATACCCACGACAATAATATTAAAATTAAGAAATTGCTTTGAACTTTTGTTAAGCCTCTTGTTTGAGATGGCAACTTAGGCATCTATGAACTTGTACAGAATTGATAATCATAAGATTGCTTTTTAAATAACCTTGCTTATAGAAAAATGTCTTTTTTTTAAATACTTGTGAAGCATTATTATTTTTTTAGCATTATATCGTTATAATTTATTAAATGCGAAATTTAAGTTAAGTCTTTTGTTATGGAGTTAAGAATAATCGTTATTGTTTAAAATATGCTTTAACCTTCACATTACTTAAAATAAAAATAAAATTTTGGTTTGTTTTTTACCGTGAATATTGTTCGGAAAATTGTTTTGTACTGAAAAATACTAAATTCATTACAATAGCTAGCGATTTTAATTTTCTCTTTTATCTTCTTTTTCTTAATTTTCAATAGGAAAAAATAAATTATTTCTAATTAGTTAAAAATTTAACTCTGTAACTTTTTTTTCCTTCTAAATATTTTATTTCTCTAATTTTTCATCTGGTACAAGAATTTGTAAGATCATTTGTTTAGAAAGTTATTTGTTTTTAGTTATTGTATTTGTTTATTCAAGTTAACGCTTTTAAACGACGTTTTCCGTATTTAATTTCTTATAACTATGATTGTGTGGGAATATATGTATTTATAATATAAATTTTACTGCGAAAAATCTTCATTGAAAAAGTTAGATGATTAATTTTAAACATTAAAAGTATGATATTTATAATCGAATAATTTTCCATGTATACTACATCAGTGCTCGACTTCGCTCTCAGGTCGTCGGACTATCAAAGCAGGGGAGTCATCCCCTCTACAGAGGAGCAAAATTGCGATGGCATGTCTTCGGATCATCCTCATGGATATATCTCAGATCGTCGCCAATAGTCTTGTGCATCTCTAGTGCGACGTAAATAAAAGTAAATTTTTTTTTTTTTAAAAGTACATACTACATCATATGTAAGTTAAGGTAGTGATAATATTTTTTTAAAAAAAATTATTGATGTAGTAAGAAATGAAGTACGAAATTATTTCACTATTTGAAGAACTTAAAATTCTTTGGAAAGCGTAAACTCAATTTTCTTTTTGGTGTATTTATTTTATGAGTTTAGATCATAAGCATTTCTTTTTTATTTTTATTTTATGTCTCTCTATTCAAGTTGTTAATAAACATATTATTTCTTTTTATTTTAGTTGGATACCAAAAAAAGCCCGTTGGCTCTTCTTGCTCAAACATGTAACAGCATTGGTGCTAATATTGGGAGTGACAACCCAAACAACAAACACGTCATATCTGGACTTGAAAAGACCAAAGACAGTAGCGACTCAAAGAAAGACAAGTCACCTGTTATTATCAGTGATGATCATAGTAACAGCAAACCATCTTTCAAACCGTATGAATCTGTCATCAAGAAAGAGGAATCTGACTTCAACGGCAAAAAGACGCCCAATTCAAAGACTAGTACACCGTCATCTGTTAATCACATATCTCCAGCAATAAGCACTGGTTCTTGTGGGAAAAGCTCGCCAGATGCATCTGAAAATGGCAGAAGCAGTTCTCACAAACAATCGGAATCAACTGTATCTCACGCGCCTTCAACTACCTCTGATACCTCTCCTTCAACTTTGAGTTCTTCTCAAAATACCCTGAGCGGACTAGGGTATGGTTCATCTTCTGGCTTGGACTTGACGCGTAATGATGGCAAGGACGGTTATCCTCCACTTGGACTTAGTGCTTACAAGGGCTTAGGTTTGAATCCCTTAGCAAATTGTAATGGTTGTGGTCCGATTCCAGGACATGGCATGGATGCTCATGCTTTTCAAGGAGTTGCTCAAAGTGGTTTGCTTAAAGCAAATGGTTTTGGTTTGACACCAGGACTATCACCTTATCTTGGATATGCGAGGCTAAGAACTGCTAGTGGTGGTCATGCTATAGTACCAGTCTGTAGGGATCCGTCATGCACGAACTGTCAATATAGTATGCAAGGTGCTCAACTTTCTCCCTGTCCTAGTGGGTGTACGCAGTGCACGCATGACCGATTAGGATCTGTTCCAGGATTGGGACAAGGACTAGTTCCTGGTTTGAATAGCTCAGTAGCTGCCATGGCTGCAGCTGCCAGCATGTCTGGTTTATATCCTCCTTCGTTGATGTCCAGGCCAAATGTTTGTAGCTGGGTTGTTGGTGATACGTATTGTGGCAAAAGATTCAGTACTTCTGAGGAGTTGCTGCAGCATCTTAGGACTCACACGAACTTACCAACTTCTGAGCCATCATTATCACTGCTGTCTCCAGCATTTAGCCTGGCGTCATCGAACTTGAATGCTGCGTGCCATATGCATTTTAGCTCACCTACCACTTTAACTTCTCCAGCTGGTCTAAGAAGGACATATCCAACTAGTTTAAGCCCTGTTAGTTCACTCTCTGCTGCAAATCGATATCATCCGTATAAGCCTACCTTATCAGGTTTACCCGGAGCACCAATTCCTCAATTAGGACATCCAGGTTTAGGTGTATACTATCCTTACAGTCTGTATGGGCAGAGACTTGGACCACCAGTACATCCTTAGCTCGCTCATAAACAATCTATATTTGTATAGGTTTTTCATTGATATTCAGAAAATTCTAAATTATCTTCAAAATGCTTTATTACTTTAATAGTTTCTATGACCAAAGCAATGACATAATTTAAGTGTATATATAATAGACTAAGTTACTAAAGAATTCTGACAAAGCAAATGTAATTATTGGTCGAAATTCTGTACATTTATATTGTGATACACTTTAAATATCGTTGCAATTCATTAACTTACAGAAAAAAAATTTTGGCTTTAATTTTACTACTGAAATGTCAAAATAAAATTACGGCCTCATTTCTTTTTTAAATTTTAAAATCATTTATTTCAAAGACTTAAAATTGATTGTTGACTTTTAAAACTTTTTAAATTATAATACGTTTATTTTTATACATTATTAATCTTCTTTTCGACTTAACATGAAAATGTGCTGATAAATCAAATTTGAATATCATTTGTAATGATAACTGCATGTTTTCATATCTTATCTTAACACCTCATGAATGCATACTCTAAGAGAGGTATTTTTATTTATCATTTAGATACATAATTATTTATTAGTGTGTGAATCCATATGGTTTTAATTTCCAACATTGTTGTTCAAAATTGTGTCAAAATTTTTTCTGTTTAAAAATAATTAAATTATTAATAAACTATTAATCAATTAAAATATTTCTAGTTTTTTTTTTTCTAATTAAGCATTTAAATTGTGAAATTAAAAGTAAAATTAACTTTTTTAAAAGTTATGTCATTTTTAAACTGAAAATATTACAATCTAAATTTACAAATGATTTGATTTTTTTTAAAATTTTATTTTCCTTCAATGACTATAAAAAATACCAGATAGTTATTATTTTTTTTAAGGCTTTTGCTTTATCTTTTACTATTTATAAATCATTTACTGTTAAATTTATCAATTGAAAAAGAAATTTTTCAAAAACGAAAAAATAAGGTTGGAATTTGGAATATTATAATTTTAAAAGCTGCATAAATGGCATAATTTTAAATTAAGGTTAACAGACGTTTTATTGATAAAGGGTTATGCACTAAAATCCTTTTTATTATTATATTTATATCAAAGTGTTTGTGGCATTATTACAACAGTTTTTGATAATAAACTGCACATTATAACATTTGTCCTTAATAACCAGCCAAAGACCATACTATCTACATATGTGATGATAATAAGTGAGATTGTATTATAATTGTAGTATGCATGTGTTCATTGTTTATGGTTTAAATGATTGTTATGTAGAAGTGTTGCTTATGCTGATGTCACAAAGGTTGTAATTTATGCCAATTCATTCTTATTTGTCATATCTCACTGCTTTTTAGAATTCAAAATGCTGAAAACTATTTATTCTTATTTTTTCCAGTTTTTTTTATTTTTTATAAGTAATTAAATTTTCTGTTATATTCATCAATTTAAATTTTAACTCCCTTTGAAATTGATTGGATTATATTCAAATGGCTAATATGATAATGCATAGAACTTCATTATTTCGAACTCAAAATACGTTGTTCTAATGAATAATAGCAATTTAGCTAATCGGAATTAAATTTTCATGGTTTATAAAACAATTTTAAATGCTTGACTTTTTTGTTTGTCTATTCCAAAGAAATTTAGAGCACTTATTAGTGTTTAAGAGATGGGTGAGTCGTGGGCGTATCAAATTTTTGAGGGGATTAAAATTAAAACACTTAGTCATACTAGTTCTCTAAATTTCACACATAACAAAAAATATTTCTTAAAATTGCTAAACATCTTAAACAGCATTGCTTAAATTGTTGTTGTATTAGCGATTTAAAAAACTTTTCCTTTACGGTAAATGGCTTGAAAATTATCAAATAATTAAGAATATTTATAAAAGGCTGAAATTTGAAACATTATAACTATATGGATTACATTCATAACTTAGATAACTTGTTAACTAACTAAGTTGTTGAAATGTTATGTTTTCGTTATAGCAGCTTATTTTAATAGCAATTTGAAAATTTTGATCAGGATAATAGAATAATTTTAAAGATGTTGTTTGTGTTGGAGTAAGATATTAAGTTAGAGAAGAAAATTGTAAATAATATTTGTACATATGTATATTTTACGACACATTTCTCGGCGTTGTGGCAACAAGAAAGTGATTTATTAGCTTTTCATGTGCACACGTTTTCATTTTACCGACTGAGCTTTTGAGCTTGAATTAAAACTTTGTTTAGATTTAATTTCTTAAATAGTCTGGATTAATTTATCGTTCATTTTTTGCCATGGATGTTTCTTGAAAATTGTACATAAAGAGATAAAACATCTTGGAAATTCTCCTATTTATTCTGAAATGTCGCCAAATCAGATGCCAAGTGTGTGTAATAATGAGTGTATTTTTATTGATGTTTCCCATCCAGATGATACCATGTTTGCTTTTGTTTCATATTTATGTAGTGATACGATGGCATTCTATATTTCTTTTTTTCTATTTTAATCTAATTTTTTTTTATCAATTTGCATTTTTACGAGTATTTACAATGGCAGATGTAAAAGTTATATCACGAGATGTAATTAGTAATGATTCTGCCAATAATCTGGTATTAGGCCTGATTTTGAAGTCTTAAATTAGTTACGGTTAAGAATAACTTACACTTTTTTAATTGTATTGAACAGAACTAAATCAACAGTATGAATAGTCCCCAAGACGTATATTTTTTTAGGAAATTAATTATAAAAATTATCTCTGAAAAATTGGAATAACAAAAATGTATTGAAAAAAATTTTTTTAACAGAAATTTATTTTAAAAGCTTGTTTGCTTGAACTTTTTTTAATTAATTAATTTGTTAAATTATTATTTTAATAATACAGTTTATTGATTAAAAGAAACATCCTATTTTCGTAGAGTGGTATCTTGTTAAAGTATTTAATTACGTATGTAATTATTATTTACACTTCAGCGTAATTCAAACAACACTTATGTTTTTTTCTTTCTTTCATATAACATGCATTTTATACACTTACTAATATTTTCAAAATCGATTTTACTATGGAGTTGTTGTCTGTTGTATAAGATATAAGCCAAACAAAACCATGAACATGATGTAGTGGTTTGACATATGATCATTAAGTTTTACTTTTTCTCAATGCTATGTATTATTCTAATACAGTTGTCGAGCTTTTTAAATTTATGTTGAACAAATGATATTTAATTAAATCATAATTTCAACGAAATTGCTGTTGAAGAAACATACAGCTGTAATAGTTAATTTGATTAATATTTAATTTATGTTGCCATCGTTCACTGTAATTGTGCAATATTTATGAGACAATCATAGAGAATGAAATTGGACTAGCAAACATGTTTTCAAAACCTCTTCGCCTCATTGTCGTCTTTCACTCATTATTTTTTTTTTCTTGTGCTTAAAATTGTTTAAATTATAGAGATTTTATTAAAAAAATTAAATGTTTTATTTCAAAAGTATGTGTTTTTTTATTTAATTTCTTTACTAAGACATTTATATTTGGGTAAAGTTTAAATATACCAGTTCTTAATAACGATGAGTCTGATTGTATTCGGATCATCCTCGGGGATATTTCCCAGATCGTCACCAGTTGTGCAGCTCAAGTGTGACGTAAATAAAATACCGTACTGATTGTGTCTGATAATTCCAGGAAAGAAACAATTAAAATCCCTCAATAAGTTTTATTTCTATGAGTTCTAAAGGTACGGCCTCTTCTTTTTTTTTTCCCCTCACAAAAAAAAAAAAAANAAAAAAAAAAAAAAAAAAAAAAAAAAAAAAAAAAAAAAAAAAGGCAAGATGTTTGAATATATTATAATGAAGATTAGAGCTTTCTATAACTTATTTGCAATGAAGATAAACGTTTCTTATCAATTTATTGTAACGAGTATTAGATATTTTATTAATTCTTTGCAATGAAGATAAGGGTTTGTCTGTAAATTTACATTTGTAAATGAATTCAAGATTAGGATATTGTATCAATATGTTTACGTGTAGATTTAATTTTTTTGCAACTATAAATTGAAGCTTAGCTTTATCCATTGCAGAGAAGATTTGCTCTGAGAGTTTTCTATATTAAGTGCAACGGACTTGACTTCAGTGTCATGAAAATTAGCTTTTAACGTGAATTTTGAATCAATTTATCGTAATGAAGGTAAGCATTTTCTATCAGAACATTTCAATGCAGATTTAATAATTTTTTAAGACTATAGCAATTAAGGTCGTGGTTGATTTCTCTCATAGTCTGATACTTGATAATTCTACACAAATATTGATTATCATACAAATTATTATTTTTCTTTCCACGTGGAAACTATATTTGGACAAACGAGTTTATAAATGTGTAAGAAGAAAATTTTAGCCAATTCCCTCAATTAGTTCCAAAGATATGGCGAATCAACTGCTCTCCTAAATAACTATTTCATAGTTAACAAATTACGATAAAAAGTATCGGCACTTACCGTAAAATCCATCGTTTCCGGAACATGCTACGGTGAAAAAAAAAACTGATGTACCGTAATTTTTACAGTAATAATTACCTTAAAATCATTGAATGACTAATGAAATAAATACTACTTAAAAAATTACTAATTAATATTTTACGGCAAAAATATATTTTACGGATAATGCCGCTACTATATACCGTAATTTGATCTTGAACTTTTTACAGTGTAGACGATATTTTACAGTTTGTCTACTCCCTGACGAATTTTGAATGTCAAAAATTCGTTACCATCGAACAAAATGTTAATATTTAGAAAGAGGAAGCACATTTTGTGATTGATTTCACAGTTTAAAGTATTGTGTGATTAATATTCCTGTTGAACCATTAATTGCAAGCTTCTTTGTGACTATCCGATCAGAAGTTATTTATTGTTACGTACCGCGCATCAAGTACGGCACATTGAATTGCTTTACTGTTATGAATTTGCTGGTGGCATTAATTTGAATGGGAATTATTTATTCATTTTATTTCATAAGAATATATGAAATTAAAAAAAAAAAAAACTTAGTACACCTTTTAATCTCTACTATGAATAATTTTTTTCACTGTGAAAAAAATTCTGAAAATTTAAAGTTAAGTGTGCCTTCAATCTTGAGTGCCAATACTATTTGCTATTAATTCAGTATTTATCGTAAACATTGAAGTAAAATGTACATGAGAGTCTAGAATTAAACATCACAGGGTTTCGAATATAACTAGTTAGTCTTGTCGTGTCATCCTTTAGACTAGTTCATCTTTTTACGTAATTGAAATGCTTTTAAAGTATTACATATACTTCACATGAAAGAGGAAAAAGAAAGCTATTATGGCTTTCTACAGCTACAGATGTACTTTTCTGGTATATTGCACGATGAAAGATAGTGTTGAGCAGAGGTCCTAAAACTTATATAGTCTACGATCTTTTCTGATTTTATTGTATACTCTATCCTAATTGAAACATTTTACATCACTTTGGATATTTAAATTCTGGCTCAATAATTGCATAGCTGTTCTGCAAGGTCGATAC